ACATATTATATTATTGTACTTGTGAGGCAAAACCGTATAAACAAATGACACCATGTACGAAAAAAAAAAAATTCCATTTTTCACGCGAAAAAAGCTATAGCGATTAGATTTTTAAATAAAAATGTGAGAGCCTTGTATTAAGTGCCTTCAGATACAATTTAGATTTTAGGCTATTATAAAAAACAAAGAGGCGCTGAGTAAGTCCAGATTTTTTTTTTTTAATTAAATAGTATTATAATAATAAATGACATTTTGCAGAATAGTTTTTGAGAAGTACGGAAATTGTTTGTATGAAATTCTGTTTAAGAAAGTAAATAACTGCGCTTTTGTAGTGTATGTATGAGAAATGGTGCAATTTTTAATTGTTTTGTCTCGAGTGATTTTTTTGAAGTTTGATTGTTATGTTTAGAAAAAAAAAAAACTTCCTTGACAGAAAAAGTATTTCTCTGTACTTCTTTCATTAATTTTATTGTGAGCAACAATTTGCCTGGGCGGATGAAAATTACATAAAAAATTTTCGTTTCAAAGAAATTCAGAGGGTAAAATTTTGTTTTAGTTGAATTTTCATTTAAACGAATTTTTAAAAGTCACCGAATTTTTATTTAACAAAATTTTTATTTCACAGAATTTTTGTTATCAAATTTGTTGAAAATAATTCTAATTTAATCGAATTTTAATTTAGCAGAATTTTCATTCAAAAAGAATTTTAAATGATTCAAATTTTTAAAAATCAGAATTTACATTTTGCCGAATTTTCGTTTTTTTTTTATCAGTAAATATTGCACAAAATATATTCGTAAGTTGAAAATTCGTAGAATTTTGCATTGAAAAAAATATTTTATTTAAAAAATCGTTGATCGTAATCGTTGTGAACTTCAGCATTGTAAAAATTTTATATTGAATAAAAATTCTGATAAATTAAAATTCTGCTAAAATAAAATTCTGTAAAATTAGAATTCTTTTAAATAAAAAGTAAAGTTATGAATTCTGCGAAATAAAATTTTTAACTAATGTATTTTGTATAGGTAATTTTCATGCGCTCCACTTTGTCAACGTCCATATATAATAATAATCTCTGATGATATACTGCCATTTTTATTTATTTTTTTTTTTACATTTTCTATGACTTTTAATATGTTTAAGATGCTGTCGATTTTTATATGCTTTACTTTTTTTTTATATTTTATTTCATATTATTAACATTCAAAAATGTAAATATTATAATTTTTTTAGCATTTAATTTTATAATTTTGACGACATGATTTCAAGTAAAAAAAAATTCTCATTAGAATTTTTTTTTTAATATTCACAGATTTTTTGTTTAATACGCGATGAAAAAGAAAATTTTTCAAATTGATTTATATTTGTAATTTTAGTTTTCAAAACTTGTTAGCTTTTTTTATTTAGCTTTTACACATATAGTACAAGTCTACACCTAATTTAATTTTTTCATTAAATATACAAAAACAAATTACAAGTATTATTTTAAATGTCTAAACAATTTTGTTTTTGCTCAGCGCCTCATATACGTACATATAATAAACAAAAGCTTGTAATTTTACGTTTTTTTTTTCGCCATGTATTTGCCAACGGATGACTATTTTTGTCTTTTATATTATTGTAATATTATATATAGAAAATTATTATTAATTATGCTAAAAAAAAAATAATTATCTTTCTACTTTGTTTTGCATTTTGAACACGACGTATTTTTTTATAAAAAAAAAAATATTACATTGTTTTTCAAATCTATTGTACCATTTTGATTTTTATTTCACTTAAAAAAAATTTGTAAACCGAAAAGATATTTATAATGAGTTAAAACATTCTTTACGAAATAAATAATTGTTTTTGTTTTATACAATATAATTGTATAGAGCTTTGTATTATATTTAGAGCAAAATAAAGTTCAGAAAGACGAAGTGTTACGAGTTTTTTTTTCAAATTCCTCTTGTGAATTTTTTTTTCAATAATTAAAATAAATTAACTTAAACTTTTTTTTAAATTTTTGCTTTGATTTGAAAAATCGATTCAATTTATTTTTTTATTAAATAAAGTTAAATAAAATTATTCTCTTTGTTGAAATTAAATATTATTTATTTTTAACTGAACTAAATGTAATTTACTTTTAATTAAACTAAATATAATTTATTTTTAACTAAACTAAATATAATTTACTTTTAACATAAAAATAAATCGAGATTTGATAATTATGAAAGTTTTTTTTTAAGATTTACAAAAATAACAGTAATATAAAAATCTTAATTATTTAGTTTTCTTTAATTTTTGTATTTTTATTTTATTTTTAAAAAAATTTTTTTTAACAAAACATTTTTTCCAACCACAGTTTATTTTATATTTCTTTGTACTAATTATTTTTATTTTTTACAGGTATTGCAGTTACTCTATATGATAATTTAGAAAGTAAACATTCGATAACAAAAGGTAAAAATTGAAAGAAGAAATCGGATATATTTTTGCAAAATAAAAAAAAAATTTTTTCTTTGAATTTACAATAAATGTAAATAAAAGAATTTAAACTAAATTGTGTTGCGTTATTTATTTTTAATATTAATTTAAGTTACAAAGTAATTTACCAAAAAATATATTATACCTTCTGCTTAGTCTCTAAATTTGAATAATATTGAGAATTTGTTAACTAATTCAAATTAGTAGAAATTTTTACTAATAGTGAAATATTACTATTTGATTTAGTAATATTTAACTAAAGTTTCAATGAAAAATGACTAAACATTAGTAGAAATTTTTATTAATTTTTTAGTAAAATATTACTATTTGATTTAGTAATATTTTTTTTTACTAAAGTTATAATGAAAAATTTCTAGAAATTAATAGAAATTTTCACTAATTTAAATTAGTAAACAAATTCTAATTCAAATCACATTTTTCTTGTGTGTATCAAATTGATACAACCCAAGAAGCACGTAATATAACCTCAATATCAAGGTAATATTACATGTAAGATTCGTAATATAACGTTGTAATATTACAGTAATCTTACAGTGATCTTAAAATGTCCGCCTCAAGGTAATATTACCGGTAATGTTACTGTAATATTACGCGCTAATATTAAGGTAATATTACAGTAATATTGCAGTAATATTATACCGTAATATTACAAGAGAATATTACAGTAATATTATGGGAACATTTCTTTACGAAAAAAATCTACCCATCCAGGGAATCGAACCCCGAACTCAAAGCACACGAGTCCAGAGTTTTACCAACAAGCCAAATTGACTTATAATATATTTATGTTTTTTATGCTTTATGAATAACTCAAATCAGTCTGTAATATTACCGTTAATATTACTGTAACATTACCGTTAATATTACAGTAATATTACTGTAACATTACCGTTAATATTACAGTAATATTACTGTAACATTACCGTTAATATTACAGTAATATTCCCGGTAATATTACCTTGAGGCGGACATTTTAAGATCACTGTAAGATTACTGTAATATTACAGCGTTATATTACGAATCTCACGTGTAATATTACCTTGATATTGAGGATATATTACGTTCTTCTTAGGAAGAATGAAGATCAACTCATGCAACGTTTTGATTCGATATATAAGGTATCAAATTGATCCAAATATTTGGATCATTTTCAAGAAATGATCCAGAATATGGGCTCATTTTTTGATACCTGAATTGGTATCAAAGTATAACTGTCATGGCTGGCATGCTCTTATTGACAAGTTTATTAATTCATTTATTCACTGCACTGAATATTCAGATATTAAAAATACTTCTATTATGAATTTTAAGAAAGAGAGAAGCGAAAACTTATAAATTGCGAGCAATTAAATAAGAAAAAATTTATTTCGAAATAAAATCAAATACACTAACCTTTATTTATATTTATCACATAAGATTTAAGTTAAGTTCACAACACTTGAAAATTTTTAATTATTTTTATGGTTCAAATAATTATCAATAATTTATTTATTATAAATGAACAAAATTTAAGCAATGCACGCTTGATAAATATTTCTAATGCGTTGTCAATTAATAATTTCCTATTACACAATATCATAATCGATATATATGACATTTGTAAACAAACAGGGTTGAGAAACAAGAGCCCAAAATATATTCGTCCAAAGCGAATTTCAATCCTACCCAACTCTGCTTTGGACGAACATATTTTGGGCTCATGTTTCCCAACCCTGTTTGGTTACAAATGTCATATATGTCGATTATGATATTGTGTAATAGGAAATTATTAATTGCATTAATTGACAACGCATTAGAAATATTTATCAAGCGTGCATTACTTAAATTTTGTTCATTTATAATAAATAAATTATTGATAATTATTTGAACCACAAAAATAATTAAAAATTTTCAAGTGTTGAAACTTAACTTAAATCTTATGTGATAAACATAAATAAAGATTAGTGTATTTCATTTTATTTCGAAATAAATTTTTTCTTATTTAATTGCTCGCAATTTATAAGTTTTCGCTTCTCTCTTTCTTAAAATTCATAATAAAAGTATTTTTAATATCTGAATATTCAGTGCAGTGAATAAATTAATTAATAAACTTGTCAATAAAGGGCATGCCAGCCATGACAGTTATACTTTGATACCAATTCAGGTATCAAAAAATGAGCCCATATTCTGGATCATTTCATGAAAATGATCCAAATATTTGGATCAATTTGATACCTTATATCGAATCAAAACGTTGCATTCCAAAATGATACCATCAAGTTTACAGTGATTTAGATAATACTCAAAAAAAATATTTTACATGTTTTTTTACATATATGTATTATTATTTCATGTTTTTCCTATTTAATTTAATGTCTGTCAAAATTTAAAAAATTTATTTAAATTACAATGTATATACACGTTAAGTAATGTTTCTTATAGTTGTTTTTGTATATGTACAAAAATTCGTTTTTTTCTACCTAAATAAAAAAAAAAAATGACTAACAATGATTTGTGTTTTTTTATTTCAGGTTTCAAAATACATCGACAATATCCAACGCATATGTATCAATTTTCATATCAAACATTTTCTAGTGTTGAAAATTCATCGTTAGAAGTGAAAAAACTTTATAATTGTGAAACCTGTGGCAAAGGATACAAATGGAAGGAATCACTTTTGAAACATCAAAGAATTGAATGTGGCAAAATGCCACAATTCACGTGTGACATTTGTTTTAATCGTTTTATGCATAAACATCATTTACTTAAACACAAAACAGCGATACATCAAATGACACCTATTTCGACACATGCAAATTTTTCGCATTCAACACCGAAACAACTTCAATATTAATTATATTATGTTGATTATTGTATATATATATATATGAAATTATTCTTTAAATTATTGATTTTTTTAAAAAAAATTTAATCATTTGAAATGATCGTTTATATTAATATTGAATTAGAAAAATTATTTTTATTTAAAAATTTTATAATTTTATTTTATTTTATACATATTATATTTTTTTAAATTAATATTCTATGACTTTATTTTAAAAAATTTAGTTATACATTATATAGAAATGACTGAATTTCACTTACAAGTGTTATTTATGTGGTATAATAAATTAATAATTAAAAATGTAAGATGAAAATTAAATTTAGTTACATAGAAATTAAGGACTAAATTTGTAATCAGATTTTCAAATAAAATTTAATTTTATTCAAAAAGAAAAAAAAATTTATTTATTGGGGATTTTAAGTGAAGTGATCAAGGTGAAAAAACGTTTCTTTTTAAACGCGCTCATGTTTACGTAATTTTTTTTTTTATTATAAATACTGAAATATTTTTTTCAATATCAGTTTTGATAGATTTTTTACGCCCTTTCGATTGGTAAAATGCATTTAAAAAAAAAATCAAATTTTTTTAGGCCAACATATTTTTTTTCAAAAATGCATTTTTCAAATCGAAAGGACATCAAAAAAGCTATTGAAACTGATATTGAATTTTTTTTTCATTACATAAGAAACAAATTATTATTTAAATAATATTTCAAAAACTTTCACCTCTAATATTCGTCCGAATAGAAACATTTTTTTTACGAACAATTACAATAATAATAATAGAATCCAATAGAACTAAAAATTACCCTTGTATGAACATGAGAAATCGATTGGAGAAATTTTTTTTCACCATGATCACTTCACCTGAAATCCCTCTTATAAAAAATAATTTATTTTATAATTTTCCTGTTTATAAATATTTTATTTTTTTCAGAATGTTCCCTACAACTGAAGATTTTTTGTTTTCTAAATAAAAAAAAAAAATAACAATTGACTAACTAAAAACAAAAAAATATATAAATAAAAAAAACAGTTTTTTCTTAAGCATGGACGATTGTAATTTTTTTTTCCATTCTACACAGGAACAGTTTCACATATAGAGTGAAATTTTTCTTCCACTCAAAATGTTTGCAAATTTATTTTAAATTTTTGTTACATTTCTTTTTTTTAATCTCAATTTAAAAAATGATTTTTATCTAGATGTTTTTAATGCACAAACTAAAATATAATAAAAATTAATTTCAATCAATTTTTGAAGATATATGATTAGACAATTTTCGGAAAAAATTATGTTGAACTACATTATCTTGCGTCAAATAATTATTTTTTGAAACACTGCAATTTTAGGACACATGATTGTATTCTATAAATCATTACAAGTTAGAATTGTTATTTTATGGGGAATTACATTGGTCATAATTATTTTTGAGTCGAATTTTTATTTGTTCGAATTAGTATATATTTTGCAAAATTTTCATCAAAACGATTTTCTATATATTACAGAATTTTTTATATAACCGAAAAATCATTTAACAGAATTTTTAATTGATATAGAATTTTCATTTGTCAGAAATTGTAAATGGCCGAAAAAAAATTGTCTGCAATAGACGATTCGATTTATCTATTGTGGAAACAGCCTAAAGAAATTATAAGTATTTCAAATTGTTTTTATTGAATATTTTTTTAACAACATTAAAAAAAATTACATATAATTTTTTCTAAAATCCATATAATTTAATCTTCCATTTATTGTAAATTAATTTTTCTAATATTTGTGTTTGCATTATAAAAACCAGTTTTCAATTTGAGGTTATGTTACTGTCATCGTCTTCCTGAAGGCGCATTCAGACCTCTCGGCTGCCTGCCTGCCTGCTGTAGTTACCATGGTAACATGATAAGAGTGAATGAAGCAGAAAATTTAAATTTTTCGTCTGTTTCACTCACTCCCATTATGTTACCATGGCAACTGCAGCAGGCAGGCAGGCAGCCGAGAGGTCTGAATGCGCCTTTAAAAAAAAAATAAAAATGTATTTGCTTTTTATTAATTAACTTTTTGTCATTTTTATTAGTGAACTTACTACCTTGGGTTTGGTTTTAATATATAAATTTTTATATTATTATATATTTCTATAATTCGAAACAAAAAAAATTTGAAATGAAAAAAAAAATTTGATTTCAGCTCAACTATTACAACTTTTTGATCCATTAAGATTGAATCATCAACATAAATTTCCCTTCATCTGCCCACTTTGTGGAAAGGGCTACTTATGGAAAGTTTCATTAAATCGACATATACGAGAAGAATGTCATAAAGAACCGCAACATATTTGCAAATATTGTGGTAGAAGATTTAAACAAAAAAGCAGTTTCAAGCGTCATTTAACTGTTTTACATGCCGATCAATATCATTATAAAGATTAACATTATTTGTTAATTAATATCTAATTTTATTGTTTCATTCTTTCTCTTAATTGCCATATTTCATAAAAAGAAAAATTTACATTTTATTTAGCAAATTACCCAGATAGCACGGAAACTTGCAGCAAGCTTGCGGCAAGCTTACCGCGCAAGCTTGTCTGAGCTAGCGAAATGTCCCACCCGGGGCAAGCTTGCCCTGAAAGCTTGCTGTAAGCTTTCCAGGAAAGGTTGCTGCAATCTTGCCATGAAAGATTGCTACAAGCATACTATAAGAATGATTGCGGCAAGCTTGCCGTGAAAGATTGCTGTAAGCTTGCTACGTAAGGTTGCAGGAGAATTTCAACAAGCTTCTGGAAAGGTTGCTGCAATTTTTAAAAAATACATTTTAAATAATTTTAAAAAAATTTAGAAAACAAATAAATTTTTTTTTAATTTAAAATGTTTTTTTTTTTTAAATTGCAGCAACCTTTCCAGAAGCTTGTTGAAATTCTCCTGCAACCTTACGTAGCAAGCTTACAGCAATCTTTCACGGCAAACTTGCCGCAATGATTCTTAGTATGCTTGCAGCAATCTTGTAGCAATCTTTCATGGCAAGATTGCAGCAACCTTTCCAGGAAAGCTTACAGCAAGCTTTCACGGCAAGCTTTCCCTGGGTGAAACATTTCGCTAGCTCAGACAAGCTTGCGTCAAGCTTGATAAGCTTGCACGGTAAGCTTGCCGCAAGCTTGCTGCAAGTTTCCGTACTATCTGGGTATTATTAAAGTAATTAGGGTATTAGGAAAAAATTGTCAATTATAAAAAATAGTTAGTTAAATTTAGAAAAAAAATTAAATATAATTTAATCCTTTAATTATCGACGTTTAGTGACTTCAAATAAAAACTCGACACTGAAGATTAAAGAAGAATAAAAATTAATTAAAAAAATTAAATTAAATTAAATTAAAAAACAATTGTTCTGAAAATATTTGTTATTGTTAATTTATTAGTTTCTCATGTGCCTTATTAAAATCGTATTTTATAAAATATTGAATATTTTAATAAAATAACTTATGTATATACATAAAATTGAAAAATTGTATTATTTTATACTAAAAATTTTAAAAGACATAATTGTTTCTTCCGAATTGTATATTTTTATTTGAATGAATAAACATATTTTAAAATACTTTCTATAAATGAAAATCATCATTTGAAGAACGAAGACTCATCACTGAAGCTACAAAAATTTTATACTTCTCTATGGAAAAATAATTTATCAAAATTTATAAATCATTTTTCTTGCATATTTTCATATTTCATTGCTTTTATACAATTTTAATAAAATTGCTTTATGCGAACAAAATTATTTTAATAGAAAATATTTCGTTAATTATTTCTTTTTTTTTTAATTATGTATTCAAAGTTAATTTAATTTAAAATGCTTGCAATTATTACAAAAAAAAATGTTTATCGTAAGAATTATAAATATTATTTTGCATGTATATTCAAAAAAGGGCTGCGGAGCAAAAAAAAAAATGATTCTTAAATATAAAATGTTTGAAATTTTATTTTTTTGTGTTTTGATAAATAATATATATATATATTATATATATGTTGTAATAAATTCAACAGCATTTTTTTTTCTTTAAATAACAAGAACAATAATAAAAAAAAATATTTTACTAATATTAATTTTCTTTTTTATTTTCAGATCGCTACTTGTGTGTTGCGTGTGGAAAATCTTACAAATGGAAAGGAACATACCATGTTCATTTAAAATTTGAATGCGGTGTTGAACCACAATTTTCCTGTACTATTTGTTTTAGAAAATTTCGCCATAAACATCATTTGAAAGAACATTTGAAAAATAAGCATCGCTGCCATATAGATGACATTAACAATTTATTAAGTCGATATTCAAATTTATAAATTTGTGGTTAATTAAAAAAAAAAAAAAATCCAGTTCATATTTTCTAATGCCAAAAGACCAAATTTATATAAAATATTAAAAATCACATTACATTGTTTTATAATTTATGAAAATGTTTTTTTTTTACAATTACAGTTACGTATACTTGTTCATTGTTTACAGTTTTTATAGTTTCGAAATAAGATTTTATGTTAAATATTTAATTTTTTTTTCTCCCAATTATAATCAGAAATTTCCATTGACAATAAATGAAATTATTTACATTAAATACAATATTGAAAATTTTGAATGTTTCTTTTGTTATATTTTATAAATTATAATAGGTTATAAGCTCAATTTTTTCTAGTTAAGTATTATTTTAAAATAAATTAAATAATTTAAATTTAATTTAAATTCATTTTAGTTTAAGTGAAAATGAAAATGAAATGGTCAGAATTTCTTCAACAGATCACCCAAAAATTTTCAAAAAGTAATTTATTTTTAATATTTTAAAAAGTTTTCTTTTATAATTTTACTGCATCCATAGAAATGTTTTATTTGAACCAAATATAATACATATATATTTGAGTTAAATAAACGTATATTTGTCTCACAGCCTACTAGCCTATTTATTTGGAGTGAATAAATTTTTTTATTTAAATCAAATAAAAATTTATTTGAATCAAATAAATATTTTTTAGGCTGTGAGACAAATATATCATTTCTCTAGGTGTGTGATTAAAATAAGTTTCTGGAAAATATTAAATAATAAAAATTGTTTGTTAAAGTAATAAACAATTGAAATTTTAAGCTGTCTGTAAATACATAAAAAAAAATTCATATTTTTCATAAAATAATAATTCAAAATAGCGGCTTATATGTAAAACCTTGCGCGCCATGTTTTACTTTGAGCGGTACCTTCCCCAGATCAACCAAATCATTTGATTCAAAAAAAGTTTCACCATCGATACAGGTAACCTCCCCTTAATTAATTAAATTTTATTAATTCGAAAGTAAAAATTCTTTTCTTACTATTAATTACTTGCATTTTACTAATTCATAAGCAAAAACTAAAGGCGCTCTCACACCTTTTTGACTGCCTGCAGGTTACCATGGCAACGCATGAGAGTGAGTGCGACAGAAAATTTAAAAATTTGAATATTCAAATTTTCTGTCTCACTTACACTCGTGCGTTGCCATAGTAACCTGCAGGCAGGCAGGCAGCCAAAAAGGTGTGAGTGTGTCTTAAGTCACTAATTCAAATTAATTAAAAATTTTCACTAATTCAGATTTAGAGAGTAATATACAAGTTAATATTGCATATCATTTTTCTTCACATATGTGTAAAAAATAAAATAAAAATATATTTTTAAAGCTAAATAATTATTTACTTATGATTTTGATAGATTAAAAATAAATTTTCAATATAAATTATAAAAAACTGCACTGTAAACTTGATGGTATCATTTTGGAATGCAACGTTTTGATTCGACATAAGGTATATCAAATTGATCCAAATATTTGAATCATTTTCAAGAAATGATCCAGAATATGGGATCATTTTTTGATACCTGAATTGGTATCAAAGTATAACTGTCATGGCTGGCATGCTCTTATTGACAAGTTTATTAATTAATTTATTCACTGCACTGAATATTCGGATATTAAAAATACTTTTATTATGAATTTTAAGAAAGAGAGAAGCAAAAACTTGTAAATTGCGAGCAATTAAATAAGAAAAAATTTATTTCGAAATAAAATCAAATACACTAACCTTTATTTATGTTTATCACATAAGATTTAAGTTAAGTTCACAATCACAACACTTGAAAATTTTTAATTATTTTTATGGTTTAAATAATTATCAATAATTTATTTATTATAAATGAACAAAATTTAAGCAATGCACGCTTGATAAATATTTCTAATGCGTTGTCAATTAATGCAATTAATAATTTCCAATTACACAATATCATAATCGACATATATAACATTTGTAAACAAACAGGGTTGGGAAACAAGAGCCCAAAATATGTTCGTCCAAAGCAGAGTTGGGTAGGATTGAAATTCGCTTTGGACGAATATATTTTGGGCTCTTGTTTCCCAACCCTGTTTGTTTACAAATGTCATATATGTCGTTTATGATAATGTGTAATAGGAAATTTTTAATTGCATTAATTGACAACGCATTAGAAATATTTATCAAGCGTGCATTGCTTAAATTTTGTTCATTTATAATAAATAAATTATTGATAATTATTTGAACCATAAAAATAATTAAAAATTTTCAAGTGTTGTGATTGTGAACTTAACTTAAATCTTATGTGATAAACATAAATAAAGGTTAGTGTATTTCGTTTTATTTCGAAATAAATTTTTTCTTATTTAATTGCTCGCAATTTATAAGTTTTCGCTTCTCTCTTTCTTAAAATTCATAATAAAACTATTTTTAATATCTGAATATTCAGTGCAGTGAATAAATTAATTAATAAACTTGTCAATAAGAGCATGCCAGCCATGACAGTTATACTTTGATACCAATTCAGGTATCAAAAAATGATCCCATATTCTGGATCATTTCTTGAAAATGATTCAAATATTTGGATCAATTTGATACCTTATATCGAATCAAAACGTTGCATGAGTTGATCTTAATTCTTGTATCAATTTGATACACACAAGAAAACTGTGTGCCAAATATATATCCCATATTATATTAAAATTGAATGTTACGTTGAATATATAAAATACATAATATTTCACTGCCTGCAATTGTCCTCTAATAATTTATATTTTTTTTTCCAAACTTCACTCATTATTCAACTTTAAAATATAAAATCCAAAAATGATGTACACACATTATAAGACAAAGTGTTGTTAATTTTTCGATTATTTTTTTTGTTTCGTTTTAGAACAACTTTGGATATGTTTTCGTTGTGGTAAACATTACAAATTAAGGACATCTCTAAATCAACATCTTCGTTTGGATTGTGGAAAAATGCCATCATACATTTGTACTCAATGTGGAAGAAAATTTCAACGAAAACATCATTTACAATCACACGCTAAACGTAGACATTCCATAATTATTTATAATTCTAGTTTTAAAAATTATTCTTACAGTTAAATATACTACTATTAATATTAAATTAAAACATTTTTAAATTTAAAATAAAAATAAAAAAAAAAATACTATCAATGATAAAAATATGTAAAAATCTTATATCAGCGTTCTATAACATAAAGAATATAAAACAAAATTATTATACCCAAAATCTGTAGAAAATAATAATTATATAAACATTGTCTATATGTATAAAATATGTTCTTTATTACTATCATATTATTTATAGGTGTTAAATTTTATTAATAAAACTCTTTGTAAAAAATTTTCTTCTTTTTCTAATAATATATGTTACACTAAGAATATATTAATAAAAATTAATCTACATACAAAATTCTCTCTTTGTCTTTATATTGCTTAAATTTGCCAAGCGATTTAATTTTTTTTTTTTTTGGTTCTTATTTTAAAAATTCTTAATACTGATAAAATATAATTTTTTATTTCAGACTTTCTATTGGCTAATTTGCTAAATTCATCATCAAAGGATAATGACGCACATTGGAGTTTCTCATCAGATATTTCACAAGAAAGATCAACATACAAAATTCCATCACAAAATTGGATACAAATGAATAATAGTGTTGATTCGGATAAGAAATTTTCATGTTCACGATGTGGAAAAACTTATAAAGCAACCACATCACTGAGTCGTCATATTCGTTTAGAATGTGGAGTTTTAGGATCTGAAGTCTGTCCACTTTGTAATAGACGATTTAAACATAAATTTGTATTAAATTCACATATTTTAGCTTGTCAACGAAGAATTCATAATGTTAGAAAGGACAATAGTTAAAAATTAAATTAATTTTTTTTTATTATTATAAACTCATAAATATAAGTTTAAAATTTATTTTTATCTACGAAAAAATATTGAACAAACAATATTATATTATGAGAATTTTGTAAAATAATTCTTTGTAAACAAATTTTTTTTTTAAAACTAATTTTTTGTATTGTATTTTTTATGTAAAATATGTATTTTAAACAGTATTATTTAAATTTTACATCAATTACTAATTTGTAAATTAATGTTAAGAATTTTTTTTTTCAATTAAAATATACGCTTTATAATAAGATATACTGATTGATGTTTTATAATTTTTAATACTTGAGTATAAATATATTTTTGACTCATATGTAATATTGAAAAAGATCTCTCTAAATCTGAAATTAGTAAAATTCAACAATTTTAAAAATTATTTCATCATTACGAAATGTACATGCAACCTACTGTGCATAAAAAGAATTTATACTAAAATAGTAATTTGTTCTTTATATAAAAAAGGCGATTCCACAATACAGATATATAAGTAGCAATGAGGGGATTTCCACCGAACAAAATTAGACGGCTTACTTGCCGAGGCCTGAAGTCAGGGCTACCAACGCAACTGCAAACCATGATTTTCACATTGTGACGTCAGAGTCGATTCTAGGTGTGACGTCAGATAGCTGTACAGAAAACAAACAGACGACACAATGTTATTCTTTTGGGGAAAAACAATGTTTCCAGTTTTATCAATTTTACTCATATTTTTGTTTGTTTACTAACTTGAAATATTTTACTGCTGCGGTAATTCCCACTTAAAATATATATATATATTATATCTTTTTTTAATAACATGCATACTGGCTATTTTTTAATAATGCTGTTTAAATGTAAAATGAACTTAGTAAAAAATACCTTTAACCTCAAAATTTATATTTAATTATGAATTCAGAGAATGTACCAATGCAATTGAATCAAATATGTGACGCTCCACACGGTGAAAGGGTGCTTAGCTGTTTTTGACAGAAATAAACTTTGCAGTAAAAATAAATAAAAGCGATTAGTTTTCGGTACAAACTATTATTATTTAATTATTTATTAGATGCAATATTTTTAGTAAAAAATTCTTTTGATGTTAAATAATCAAAAATAAATCTTTAATAAAGCAAAAACTACCATGAACATAACCTAAAATTTTAAGCAGCTAAGCACCCTTTCACCGTGGAGCGTCACATATATAACCAGGATTGCACAGTTACGCGTATATACGTAAAAAAGTCTATGTTATTTACCTGAGGTATATTACATACGCAACCTTGATTGTGTCATCTGTTTTTCTTCCTTTCAGATATCTGACGTCATAAGGCCAAAGCAGAATAGAAACGTAACCGGAATAATAAGTTAGAGAAGAACAAACAATATATATCTATCCTATTCTAACTCATTCTTCCGGTTGCGTTTGCGATTACGATTCTTGTTACGTTTCTATTCTGTTCAGACCTATAAGGCCAACGCACAATAGATTCGCAAAAGTTGTTCGCGAACGAGATGCATGAGATAGAAAAGGATACGAATATATCTCTGTCCTTTTTTAACTCATGTGTCACGTTCGCGAACGTCTTTCGCGAACCTGTTCGGCTCAGGCCTATACTCGAGTCCCCACTAACCATCTGTCATAATTCTCGTCAACTACCGCAACCTGCTCTAGTAAAAATTTATTGACTTTTTTTGTTAAAATTAAAAGTTACTGTTGGGATTTACTAAACTGCAATACGCCATCTGGTGTTTACCTACCTATTTTCCTTTTTCGTCTTTCATCAATTAACACGATAGAAAGAGAAATAAAACCAAAATATCTGATAAAGTAGATAAAAGTCACTAGACCGCCAATCCCAATAAAGTTACTAAATTTTCACTACAGCAGGGTGCGGTAGTTGATGAGATTTATGACAAATGTCGAGTAGGGACAATGGCAACCAACCGAAATTGTGTCACCTACCATACTTTAATTAGAAGACCGGAAGTGCCATATTGTTTATTCCCATTTTTTCATAAGTGGCGGGTAAATTCAAATAATTTAATGGGATTGAAATATATTGAATAACAAATTAAATAATTAATGAAAAAAAATTTTAAAACATTTTAACGTAATTGGTATTATTATTGATATAAGAAAAACATAGTTGCTATATATGTGACGCTCTACGGTGAAAGGGTGCTTAGCTGTTTTTGACAGAAATAAACTTTGTAGTAAAAATAAATAAAAGCGATTAGTTTTCGGTACAAACTATTATTATTTAATTATTTATTAGATGCAATATTTTCAGTAAAAAAATGCTTTTGATGTTAAATAATCAAAAATAAATCTTTAATAAAGCAAAAACTACCATGAACATAACCTAAAATTTTAAGCAGCTATGCACCCTTTCACCGTGGAGCGTCACATATTAAATTAAGGGTAGATTTCGATGATTTTGAGGTTTTTTTAAAGATTTTTTTTATAGTTAAAAAAAATATTTATAATTTCCAATTTTTTTTATAATAAAATACATGTCTGAAAGAGTCGAAAACAATTTTTTTTTCTTTTTTTTAATAAAAAACACTCTAAAAATTTGTCACACTTTTTCTCTGTAATAGTTAATCTGAAATGAAAAAAACAAAATTTTTCATAATCTGTACTATTTGGACTATGGTGTAAACTAAAATCAGAAATATTTATTAAAATAAAAACGAATGGCAGACTTGAATTTTTCGACAAAAATTTTGCAACTTAAATTGTTCATAAGTTTTTAAAATATTAATGGAATTTAAAAATCCTAGTTCACACGAAAACTATATACATTCAAGAAATATACTGTCCAAATTTAAAGTTAATTGGTTGAATAATTTTAAAATAAAAGTGTGACAAAGTTGAATTTTACTATTTTAGATTTAGAGAGATTAACTCTGAAAATAAATTTTGTTTTGCGGTGAAATTTTCCCCTCTCTATAAATTATTGTAAACTATATTTGGCATGTGTAAACAAAATCATCATAAAATAGACGCAACTGATATATTGTTAAATGGAGAAAATAAAATTTTTGTACAAAATACAAATAAATTTTTTAGTTTAATGTGTAGTGCACTCATAAATTATTTCTTTTTGGAAAATTTTTGTTGTTCTTAAAAATTTTTTTTTAATGTTATCATATAATAAATATTTTTACCAAAATGAAATATTTTTTTTCTCACTTTTTAAATAAATGACATTCGATTGAATTTATGTTTTAGATACTATTAATATCTGGGTAGCTGATCCTCTACAAATAGGCTCAACGCCATTAGCTGAATTCGCATCTCAAGAATGTCAATTACAATCAAAAAGTTTTATATGCAATCGTTGTGGTCGAGAATATTCTCAATTAAAAAGTTTAAGACGTCATGTTTTTCATTGTGGCAAAACATTGAGTCAATCAATTTTAAGTACAGGTGATGTACATTATGTTGATGAGAATGGTGATGAAAGACAATTTGTCTGTCCCTATTGTGGTAAGGCTTATCGTTGGAAGAAAGGATTAAAAGTTCATCAGGAACGTTGTCCATTAAAATTGGCTCTCGAAGGTCCACAAATTATAAATGAATCATCATCAAATAATAATCGACAAAATGAGGAGAGTGTTCCATCAACATCGAATGATGCATGTCAGGAAAAAATTCCACCACTCATTATAAAAGACAATTCTGTTAATCGATATCAATGTATAATGTGTGGAAAACGTTATGATTGGTTAAAAAATTTGAGACGTCATCATAAAATGTGCCGTAAGAAATTTATAAATAAACGTATAAAAGTGGAGAAACAAAATTGTGGTACCACTTATCAAAAATTTAAATGTGAATTTTGTTCAAAAGAATTTATATGGTTGAATAGTTTAAAGAAACACATGAAAAAATGTCTTGAACGTCGAAGTGAACAAAATGAATTTATTATTGCTGATGATATTTCAAGTTTATCAAATCAACAGCGAGAGGAAGAAGAAGAGGATGAAGAAGAAAGCGAAGATGATGATGATGTCACTGAAATTATTTAATTCTGAATATAGTAAAAGTAACTAAATGTAAAAGAATTTACTATAAATCATATACGAATTTGTGGCAAAAAAATACCTGTATATTTAATTATGTATATATATATATATATAATTTCCATACAATTATTAGAAATATTCTCACGTGTACTCTTTTACATCGTATTAATAAAATATCTCATCTAATTTTTAAAATAATAAAGATATTTATTTATTTTTTGATAAAAAAAACAGCTGCTTATACATTTTTCAATTCTCATCCCTACTGTTAATTCCCACATGAGTTTCCATATAGGATTCTCGTAAGATCTCATGTAGTATCTCATATGAGAAACCATAAGTGATCTTATATGGGATCTCATACGGGAATTTACAATAGGAATCATAATAAGAGAAAGTATAAAAACTTTTTCTTTATATGATGAGTAAAAATTTAATTTTTATTCCACAGAGACCTGATCTTTTATAATTTTTTTAAATTTTTTAATGCTTAAAATACTTTAAAATTTTATTTTTATTTAATTTTTTTATTTAAAGATTCAAAAATATGAAGTTGGACTAATTTTTAAATGATTCTTTCTTAAATTCGTCGAAATTTGAAGAAAATTTTCAAAATAGAAAAATACTGCAATGAAAGGTTGGTTTCCATTCTCCCCACTCGCTATTTGTCATAATTCTCGTCAACTACAGCACCCTGCACTAGTAAAAATTTAGTAAATTTATAGTTACTTTTAATTTTAACAATAATGTCACTAAATTTTTACTAGTGCAGGGTGTGGTAGTTGACGAGTATTATGACAAATGGCGAGTGGGGACAATGGAAACCAACCGAAATTTTAAATTCACTATTTGTCTTAGGGTTAAATAAAAATTTATTTGTATTGAATAAATATTTTTTATTCAAAATAAATAATTATTTTTCTCTGAAGCAAATATATTTTTATCTTATTTTTTTTTATTTTCCATAAAAATAAATTTCGTGTTTAATTATTAAAAAAATTATATCTAATAAAAAATAATTATATATATATATATATAGTTATTTGATATAATTTCAATTATTTAATGAATGTCTATATTAATTTAAAAATTATAAAAATGAGATGTTTTAATGTCATCCGAATTGTATCACGTGGCCTTAATTATAAAAACAATGTAATCTCACAAATCTGAAAATGAAATGATCTAAATTACTGAAAAATTATTCGATATATTCGATATAATGAGGACGCATGAATATTTCCCTCATTAGACCGGTCGTAATTTTTTTGTAGTGTCGAATTAAAAATTATCGAATTTTTATTTAGCAGAATTTTTATAAAGTTAATTTTATAATGTGCCGAATTTTCATGTCGAAGAATTTCTATTAAACTAAATTCTGAGTTATTGTAGAAGCACCTTCAATGAACTTGAAATTTCCCTAGGTAAATTTTTAAATTTCAAAATTCCCTAGGTATCACTAAGTATATGTAGCAGACAGACAGATGTACACACTACACAAGGTTAGGGTAAAGAGTACAGTGACCGACACTCTGGACATACTTTCAACTTTAAATCACATTTTATCGAAATTTATTAAAGATTTAGTTATAAAATAAATTTCAAATAAAAAATTTGGGTTAAAATTTATAGTACATAAGTTTAAAATTAAAAAACACTTTAATAAAAGTTTATAATATTAATTATTTAAAAATGTATGGTATGAAAAAAGTGAACGACACCCTTTAATAAAATAAAAAATATTTAAACTACTATTTATGTAACATGATATAAATATTATCACAAATTTTATTATTCAGATTTAATGTACAAAAAAAGTTTCTTTTCAAATATAATTATTTAACAATTTCTTCATATTTATAAAATTTGTAATCAATAAAGCAAATTTTTTGAGGTTAGTTTTTTAGAAAGTAAAATATTCAGAAAAATATATAAAACATAAAATTTTGTGTTAACTGTATCAGTTTCTAAATATTGTATTTTAATTAATTTACTGGTGATATTTAATTTAATATTATTATTTTTATAGTTATCGTTTTTAATAGGGCGGTACAAATTCAACACAAATAAACTCTAGACAAAAAAATACTGCACGAGTCAATTCTCAACAAAATTAAATAAAAATATATGCTTCACAATTAAATACTACATCGAAATACCCTACACAATAAACTATTTACTAGAAAATTATCTACATAAACTCTACACAAATAAACTCAACACATTAAGATTTAGAATTAGAAAAATGAAAATATTTTTTTTATAATTCTACACAAATAAATACTACATCAGTAAATTTTACACAGCTATAAAAAATAAAAAATTAAATTCGACACAATTAAATTTTATACATGAAAATAATGTTTTCTTTATTTCCGATTATTTATAAAATTCTACACAATTAAACTCAACATTTATAAATTCTACACATCAAATTAAAATATTTTAATCCTACACAAATAAACTGTACACATTCAAAATTAAACATATTAAATGAAAATAATAAAATTCAAAACGAGAAAACTTTATACAAGAAAATACTCCACCGCTAACTGTACACGAGTAAATTCTCAATAAAATAAAATAAAAATATATTCTACACAATTAAATACTACATCGAAAAACCCTACACAATAAACTATTAACTAGAAAATTATCTCCATAAACTCAACTCATTAAGATTTAGAATTAGAAAAATAAAAATATTTTTTTTATAATTCTACACAAATAAATATTACATTAGTAAATTCTACACAGCTATAAAAAATAATAAATTAAATTCGACACAAAAGGAAAGATTATTTTTATGTGTTGAATTTAATTGTGTCAAATTTAATTTATTATTTTTTATAGCTGTGTAGAATTTACTAATGTAATATTTATTTGTGTAGAATTATAAAAAAAAATTTTTTTTTTTCTAAATCTAAATCTTAATGTATAGAGTTTATGGAGATAATTTTCTAGTTAATAGTTTATTGTGTATAGGGTTTTTCGATGTAGTATTTAATTGTGTAGAATATATTTTTATTTTATTTTATTGAGAATTTACTCGTGTACAGTTAGCGGTGGAGTATTTTCTTGTATAAAGTTTTCTCGTTTTGAATTTTATTATTTTCATTTAATATGTTTAATTTTGAATGTGTACAGTTTATTTGTGTAGGATTAAAATATTTTAATTTGATGTGTAGAATTTATAAATGTTGAGTTTAATTGTGTAGAATTTTATAAATAATCGGAAATAAAGAAAACATTATTTTCATGTGTAAAATTTAATTGTGTCGAATTTAATTTTTTATTTTTTATAGCTGTGTAAAATTTACTTGATGTAGTATTTATTTGTGTAGAATTATAAAAAATTTTTTTTTCATTTTTCTAATTCTAAATCTTAATGTATTGAGTTTATGAAGATAATTTTCTAGTAAATAGTCTTTTTTCATTTTAGAGCTTACTCTAAAATGAAATAAAGATTTTTGTATACTACCAAAACACATTTTCCCATACTAGGTCACGTGGGAGGTTCCCACATACCCTTAAATCAGAATTTAGCTAAATAGAAATTCTTCGTTATGAAAATTCGGTTTATCATAAAATCTACACTTTATAAAAATTCGGTATTTTTCAATTCAACACCACCAAAAAATTTCATCATATCTAATGTTGGGGAATTTTTATATGCGTTCCATATTCCGTTATTTAAATTAAATAATCGATATAGGTTATTTCTGTTTTAATATTAGTGATTTAATAATATATTATAAATTATATAAATAGATATTTTTAGGTAAGAGATTTTAAATAATCGTCAGTTTAATAAAAAATAATAATTTAATAATGTATATTCATTATAAGAATTAAATTTCAATAAAATACTGTCAGAAAACCCCTTTTATGGAGAAATAAATAAATATAATACAATCTTAAATAATTTTATTGTCTTTTGCAATTTTCTGTAAATTATCAATTTAGAAAAAAAATTTAATTAGAATAAAAAGAAGTTTCTATATTTATATATAAAATCAATTTCTATATTTATAATTTGAAAATATTTTCTTCTAGCGCTTCTTTTTCTAACTTGAAAGTTTTTGATAAATACGCGATATTTTATAAATTGCATGTCAAAACTTGGTGCACGAGTATATAATACATTATAAATATAGAATACTATATATATGAATTATTTATATATACTTTTTTTCATAATTTTTAATGTTTATATTATATGTAATTATGATACTGATGAAATAAAATTTTTTTCCTCTCCAGAGTGGCTCAAAGGAAACGAATTCCAGAGGAATAAATACTTTCCAACGTCATCATTAAACTATGAGGAACATCAAACATATGAAACAAATTACAATAATGAGCAGAATTCATTTAAATGCTTCGATTGTGGCCATTCTTATACATTATTACATAATTTACGACGACATCAATTGAAATGTGGCAATAAAGAACCAAATTTTAATTGTCAAATTTGTCAAAAAAAATTCTTTCGATCTGACTGTTTAAGGATTCATCAAAGAACAATTCATAATTTTTATGAAAGAGAACGAAAACGATTACATTGATTATGTCTCTTTTTTTCCCTCATTTACTTATTCCATATAATTAAAAAAAAAAATTTAAGTAATATATTTTTAATTATAATATAAATATTTTGTAATTTACCGAATTTCTTCGAACATCGAAGTTATATTAATACTTTTTCAGTATTAAATAAATTTAGTACTTAATTTGAAAATTTATTAAATCAAGTAGTATAATGAAAATTATTTGTAAATATACAGAAATTGTTATTAAAACTGTATTATAAAGAATTATAAAATATTTTCATTTACCTTTAACATAATATAGCTAAATAATATTAAATTTAAATATCGACACTTTTTCCCTTGAATGATAAAAACTTTGTTTTATTTCTATATTTATATAAAATTTAGTAGTCATTGTTAGTCGTAAGATTAGTTAAAAAATATTTGTTTAAATTAACTTTTCTCATTTTTCTTGTTTCAGATCTTTCGCATTTCGCCTGGGTCGAGGTTGATCCTCTTGACTCATTTAAGGAATTGGTAAGAAAATTTAAAAATTAATTAATAATCTCAAAAAAAAAAAAAGAAAAAATTTTTTTTGATAACAGAAATTTTTAACTTACATAATTGAAATTAATTGGAAAAAATTTGTTTTTCAGATAAAATGTGCACCAGGTGGTATTGAATTGATACACGAATATAATGAAACAAATGGTCTATCTGCAATTAATCGACGAAAATTAGTTAATATTGCTGTAGATTCAATGGTTGCTAGATATGGATATTTTCCAACATCCGAACAAAAAGTACTTTGTGCCAAGGAAATTGTCAAATGTTTTCCAAAATTAAAAGATCCAGCATCTGAAGAAGGATATGTATGAATTTTCATTTTTATTTTATCAGGCCTCGAATTGTACGACTTTTTCACATTATTTGTTTTTAAATTACAATTTTTTTAATGTCCCCCAATTAAATAAATTTAATTTTTAATAATAATTAAATTATAAAATTTTATAAGGACTTCTTCTTGGCTTTTAATTAATATTAATATTTTTTAATTAAATATATGAAATTTAATTATTTTAAACTCAATAAAGTTAAAATTTTATTAAATCTTTCAAAATTTAATTACTTAACAAATTTTTAACTTAAATTCTTCGCTAAATTAATTATTTTCAAAAATTTTAATAAAATTCGTCGAAAATTCAATTATATGAAATTGTTTTTCAAATAAATATTTTTTAAAAATTAAATAATTTTTTGAAATTTACAAATAAACAATTTCATCAAATAAAATTACCAAAAAATTCCATCAAGTTCTTCAAAAAATCAATTATTTAAAACATTTTTTAATTAAAAATTCTTTAAAATTTAATTTGTCACAAAAATTTAAAAGATTTTTAAAAATTTCAATTTCAAATCTTGAAATTCAATTGCTTCTAAATTTTTTCATTTAAAACCTTCTAAAATTTACTTAATTACTTTAAAAATTTTTTAAACTTTCTAAAATTTAATTATTTCTAATAATTTCAATTATAACTCTTTCAAATTTCAATTATTTGAAAAAAAAATGTTATCTTAAATTAATTATTAAATAATATTTAACAAATAATTTTTTCAAATTTTTCGATAATTAAATTATTTAATAAATTTTCAAATAAAAACTTTCAAAATTTCAATTATCAGAAATCTAAAACAAACTATACAGCAATTCAAATTTTCAAAAATTTTATTCAATTTGAAATCTTCTAAAATTCAATTATCTAAAAAAAAATTTTGAATAAAAACTGTTTAAAACTTAATTGTGGTAGGAAATTGTGTTGTCCAATTAAAACTAAAAACTATGCCGAAATTTTGAATTCGAATAATTTGCTTAAATCAGAATTCAAAAAAATTTTTAAAAATGAAACATTAAGAATTTTTTTTCAGAAATCTGTCCTATTGAATTAAAACTTGAAAATTTATCTTAGTTCGAATTCATAAATATTCGAAATAAATTTTCTTGATAATATTCCTACAGAATTATTCTTAATAAAGAATAAAATTAATTTAATATCTAATAACAATAGTTATTTTAAATAAAATATTTATTAACTAATTAAATTTATTAGAAAAAAAATCGATTTTTTCGCCTTTTCTTGGAATTTAAATCGCCCAAAAACAACTTCTTTTGTGCCTTAAAGTCGATCCGAGTCGAGGCTTGTTTTTTAAAAAAATATTTACACATTAAATAATATATTGTAAATTTAATATGTAGATTATTTTTTTAAAATGATTTATTATGACATTTTTAATTTTAGGAAATATTCTTTGATCCCGAAACAAGAAGTGGATATATATCATGGAGATTAAAAACAATAAATCGTAAAAGAAAAGGTGAAAAAAGAAGAATTCATTTTTTAAAATCAAATGTAAGAACAGAACCGGTGACGCAAAATTTACCGGAATTAAATTATGAGGATCCATTATTGGAACAAGTATCATTTCATGATTCACAGAGAATAGAATTTTTAAAAACAGCCTGCTCAATTACTCAAAAACACGAAATTATTGCGGCAATGAAAGCAACTTTTCCATTGAGATGTGCATATAGAAGACAAATTTTAGAAAATTTTCCACGATTTATTGATATTCCTTATTTAGTAAGTGTATACAATTTTATATTTTTAAAAAAATTTAATTATCAAAAATATTTTACTTTTATTTTTTGCTTTCAGATAAATTTGGATTTTTCCTTAATGTTTCCAGAAATGAATTATTGTCGACCAGTGAATACTGAATTAATTTTCAAAGCAGCTGATATTCTTTTACCACGTAATAGCAATATTAAAACCAACAAAGAAACAGGTTTGTTTCTCATTTTTGTATCGAATTGGGTCGGAATTTCTCAAACGGATTACCTAAAATTTTCATAAATTAAAATAAGGTTTTCATGCCTTGGAACATAGTATTTAGAAATAATTTTTATTTTAAATAGTTATTTAAATTTGTTTATCTATAAAATATTAATAAAAAAAAAAATATGTTCTTCACGTCAAACGTAAAATTAAAATTTTTTTTATATTCTGCATATAAATTTCTGAGTATAAATCTCTCAAAAAAAAAAAAATTTTTAGTCAGCTAAAAATTTTAATCGTTTATAACTTTAAACAAACAAATTTTTTTATTCTAATATTTTCAGAAACTTATGATAATTACAGTAGTGAAAAAAATGATTTAACATTGAAAATTAAATTTGTTTGTTTTAGTTGATACGTTTAAGAAATTCTCACCTATTTTAAAAACTTATTTCTAAAAGCATATTTTGTTTTTCAATTAAAACATATTCATTTAGGAAATTTTTTATTTTTATCACCATTTTCAATATAAATTTTTAAGCTGAAAATTAAATTATTTTGTCAACTAATTTTTAAATGAAAAATAAAATTATTTAAATAAGCAAGTTTAAATTATTCAACAAAAGTGATGTTTTTTAAAATTTTTTCGTTTGGATAATTATTATCAAATTATTATTGAATATAATTATCAAAATTATAATTATTTTGTTTTAATTATTATAAATATTCTTAATTTAATATTATATGCTATTTTTAAAGAATGGGACATCATAACAAGGGCCTATATAACTTTGATGAAATTGATCCCACCGTCAACAAAAGCTAGGAAAAAAGTTGAACAAGAAATAATACTGACTGACAAACTAGTGACATTTGAAGAGGTAATAATTAAATAAAATTAAAATTAACAATTGTTTTTATATTCTATGGTAACTTTAATATCCCAATAAAAAGCGAGAAATGAAAAAGAATTGAAAATTTTTAATTTTATTGAATATTCTTTTGTATCCATTTAGAGTAATTGAAAATAAATTCAATTCTTTTCAATAACATTTTTTTAAATTTATACAGAATTTGTCATTGTTAAGATTAAAAGATGGTATGTAAAACATTTTTTTTTAAAGGCGAAACGTTTTACAAACAATTTTCAAAAAATTGCAATTCTTTTTAATTTTTTTCTTCTTACTATGGGATAATTTGTGACGTGCTCTAAAGCAGAGGGACTAAGAAGAAAAATCATTAATTAGAATTTTCATTTTATGGAATTTCATTTGTCATATTTATTCTTTCAGATGAATTTTTATTTGTTCGAATTATTATTTGATATTATTTCCATATAACCGATTTTTCATACTACATAATTTTTACTTAACCGAAAAATCATTTAACAGAATTTCTAATTGTTAGAATTTTCATTTGTTCGAAATTGGAAATGGCCGAACAAACAGTCGACAGAAAGATTTGGGCGCGATTTTTAAAATCAACCAATCACAATTTTTATGGATAATTTTTAATTGGTTGATTTTAAAAATCGCGCCAAAATCGATTGTTGCTTCGGTCATTTGCAATTTCGGACAAATGAAAATTCTATCAATTAGAAATTCTGTTAAATGATTTTTCGATTAAGTAAAAATTCTGTAGTATAAAAAGTCGATTATATGGAAATTATATCAAATAATAATTCGAACAAATGAAAATTCATCTGAAAAAAAATTCTATGCAATGAAATTCTACCCAATAAAAATTCTTTAAAATGTCTATTACGTTAACGTAATAAGCAAAAAAAAATTCGAGCAAATAAAAATTTTAACAAATAAAAATTCGAACAAATGAATATTCTGTCAAAGTGAATTTTTGGTTATATTAAAATTCTGTAATATAGAAAATCGTTTTGATGAAAATTCTACAAAATACCAATTCGAACAAATAAAAATTCGGCTCAAAAATAATAAATGAAATTCCATAAAATGAAAATTCTAACTAATGATTTTTAAAACATAATCATGCGTCCCGAAATTCAATCAATTAAAAATTCGAACAAAAATTAATAATTAAAATTCGATGAATTGGAATTTTTTGTCTTTTAAAAATTCGAATCACATAAAATTCGATTGAAGGACAAATCTATTAAATTAAAATTCGTTAAAATTAAAATTCTTTTAAATAAAAAATCTTGTAAAGAAAATGACAGTAAAATAAAAATTCTGACAAACAAAACTTTGGTATTTAAAAATTTTGTTATTTAAAAATTTTAATAGGAAAATAAAATTTAATTCAAAAATTTTAAATTCGTCTAAAAAATAATTATTTCTAATAAAATACTTCAAAATAAAAATTCTAATTAATTTTGATTTTATAAAAATAATTAAAAATAAACTTTTAATCAAGATACCGCAACGCTAACTTTTTATTGACTATTTTAAGAGAAAAATGCGAAAAACTAAAAAATCAGGATTCTCTGGGTAATTATACTCACTTTTAAAAATTAATTATTTTTCGAAAATTTTATTTCGTTGAAGGTAAATAAATAAATAGTGAATCTTTTGTATCCTTTTGTGTTCAAAAAAAAAACCAGAAATATGTAAATTATAAGATTTCACAGGGTTTTGTTCATTAAAAACCGTCGATGGGTATAATAGCCCCTAAAATGTTATAATTACCCCCCCGGTTAACGGTATATAATTTTTTTTTAATAGATTCCTTTCTTTAGAGCACATTAAATTTTATTTTGAAAAAATGAGAATTTATTGTTTTAATGTAATTGAAAAATTGTTTAAATTACAGAATACAACTTCATTGGATGAAATTCCCATTATTAATAATCATCCATATATTATTGCACTTGGCAAAAATAGAAATTGCATCAGTTCATACTATATATCAATAAACGGAAAAATATTATTAACAGATGCAACAAATTTTACGATGGCGTTTGATCAACTATTCAAAAGTCATTTGGTATTTTATTTCAAATTTGATGAAACTCTTTCAACATTTTACCAATTTGTCCAATCATTCTATTATGGAATCAACACAGGAGTACAATTTACTCCTCGAATGAGAGAAATACGATCATTTTTGTCCCAAGAAGATTAAAGGAATTTTTTCTTTCATAAATATTTATAATATTAATAAATGAATATCGAATATTCTGTGTGTTGTTGACGGTATAATTTATCAGAACTATATTTTAGTTTTTACAATATTAATTTTCTATTCTTTATAATATAAGTGTATTTTATTTTCTTAATAATTTATTCATTATATTAAATTATTATACCCTGTAAAAACGACGATTTATGTATAATATTTAAGTAAATAAATAATATACATTATAACTTGAATTTCGAAAATAAATCCCAAAATAATTTTAGTAATTAAAAAAAATTAAAATTATGATTAATATTAGCAAAATAAAAATAAATATTTGGAACAGGTAAAACATCTACTATATAAAATAATTTTCTAGCTATCATTCCATAAACTAATGCACTGTAAATATTTGTAAAATATATATATATATTTTTTTTTGAAAGAAAGATTTTTATTTATAAAATTTATATAAAATGACTTATAAATAAAATATTTATGTTTTAGGTAGATTATTCGCTGGTATAAGATCATCTTCACGACAATTAATTCTAGGAAAAAAATATTATAGTCCAACAAATGAGGACGAACAAAATCAAACTTTCAAATGTGGTGTTTGTGGAAAAAGTTATTCAAGATTGGATAATTTAAAGAGACATCAAAGTCTTGAATGTGACAAAGTTCGAAAATATTCATGTTATATTTGTCACAAGACATATTATAGACGTTATGTTTTGATAAACCACATTTCTTCTAAACATCCTCAATATAGAACGGACTGAAAAATTATTTTATTATTATTATGATAATTATTAAATATAATCTATGTGTGAGAAAAAAAAATGATAAAACATATAATAATAAAAAATAATTTATAAAAAAAAAGTCATTTTCAAATTCTTTAATTACAACCATATGTTTATTATTATTTAAATAATTTGGTAAGGTTTTAATTCCAATATTAATTTGATTCCATGAGAGCATTAAAATGTTATTAATATACTTTTTTTTTAATTTTATTAATATTTAATTTTTGTTTGTTTTAGATATTCAGGAGAATATCCACCATTTTCTTGCAGGAAATGTGGCCGATCATATTTACATAAAAGCACATTAAAAAGACATGGGTAATTCTACAAACGAGGGAATTATGAGCGGTCAAGCTTATTTTGTATATTAATTTTGAAAAAAAAAATTTTTTTTTTTATGAATCTAAATTCTTTACTTGGAGGTTTTCGGGGTCGCTGATTTCGAATCCGACGTCAGTTTTTCAAAATTAAAAATGGCGGATCCAATATGGCGGAATTTTTTTTTTTTTAATCGTTTGGATTTGCTTAAAACTCTCTACTCGGGGGTTTTTGGAGTCGCTGATTACGAATCAGAGGTCAGTTTTTCAAAATTCAAAATGTCGAATCCAATATGGCGGACAACTTTTGAAAAAACTTAATATATTTGTCTGAAAATAATTACTTGGGGGTTTTCGGTGTCGCTAATTACGAATCAGAGGTCAGTTTTTCAAAATTCAAAATGGCGAATCCAATATGGCGGACAACTTTTGAAAAAACTTAATATATTTGTCTGAAGTAAGTATAGTTTCCAGTGATTTTAAATATTTCTCCGCCATGTTGCATCCGACATTTTGAATTTTGAAAAACTGATTTCAGATTCATTTTCAGCGACCCCAAAAACCCCCGAGTAGAGAGTTTCAAGCAAATTAGAACGATTTTTTTAAAAAAGTCCGCCATATTGGATCCGCCATTTTGAATTTTAAAAAACTGACCTCGGATTCTTAATCAGCGACCCCAAAAACCCCCGAGTAGAGAGTTTTAAGCAAATCCGAACGATTTTTTAAAAAAGTCCGCCATATTGGATCCGACATTTTTAATTTTAAAAAACTGACCTCGGATTCTTAATCAGCGACCCCAAAAACCCCCGAGTAGAGAGTTTTAAGCAAATCCAAACGATTTAAAAAAAAATTCCGCCATGTTGCATCCGCCATTTTGAATTTTGAAAAACTGACCTCGGATTCATAATCAGCGACCCCGAAAACCCCCGAGTAATAAATTTTGTATAAATCCATCCATTATTTTTAGTGTTAATGTGAATTTTCTATACACGATCTTAATTTCCTTGATAAATTGTTTATAAACAACCATAATTTTTGTAATTTTTAATATTTTGTCTGGCCACTTTCAGGTATCTTTTTTAGTGTCATTAACATGAAGTTAAAGTACTTTTCAGACCTTAAATGAGAAAAAAATGTTGTGTCCATATTTTCTTCATTTTCGTCTTTCGTTTGTAGAATCGCCCATGCACATATTAATTTTGAATGTAATGTTTCACGGAAATTTGAATGTAATATTTGTTTTAAAAAATTTAAACACGGTCATCATTTAACTGAACATCAAAGTTTACATTTACCTCTTGGAAATATTCAATTTGAATAAAAATATTAAAAAATTATTTGTTAATTAATTAATTACTAAATTAATAATTAAAACATTGTTTATTTATACAAGTCAAAATTGTAATTTTCTTCTTTGGAACAGTTTGAGTTTAATTATTTGTAAATAAAAATAAAAATTTGTTCATTATTTTTGTTAATTTCGTCTTTTTTACTTTCCTAAACATATTATAGAACTTTACTGATGATACTGCTTCTAATTTTATCAAAAAAAAAATGTAAACGATCTGCGCTACTACAACTTTTTCATTGGTATAGATAAAGACGCTCTCATTTAAAATGCACTAATATATAAAAATGTTTAGAAAACAGTAAAAAAAATAGTGTTAAGTCTTAAATTTTATTTTTTTTATCTTTATTTGTAATGTTATTTTCTAATCATCATTTTTATAAATTTTTTTTTATATTAATTTTCACTAGGAATAATTTTACTAATTTAAAATAGCTTTTTTCTTATAAAAATTAACTTTTAAATTTAAATAAAATTAAAATTAACAAATTAATTATAACGAGATTAAAGTAATAATAATTGTAAAATAATTTTTATTAAAATTCATAATGACTAAACATAATAAAAACAACAATAAATTTAACATTTACATTTTTTTTCCAAACATTTTTTTATATTAAAGCATTTTAAATAAAAGCGCCTTTTTCTACCAATGAAAGAGTAATAGTAGCGCAGGCGCAGTTACGTTTGGTGATGGTCGTTTGCATTTTGAAATAATAAATAATATTTTTAGTTAAAAATTATCAAACCAATATATTTTGTATAATTAAAAAAAAAGTATCAAAATGAATAAAAAAAAATTTAATTTTTTTTCCCTTTTGTTTTCTGAACGCTAATGAAATTATAAAAGGAAAGCTAAAAAATGGAGGTTATGTTAATTATTCCTCGTTGAATAACGTAGGCACGGACGATGAAGAAAGGCCGTAACGTATTTTTTAAAGAATCATAAAAATATATGTTTATATGTGTTATATTTTTTAAATTCCACTACAATTTTGTTACTTTTTGATGTTTGAATTTTTTTTTTTTTTTACTTTAATAACATTTGAATTTTATTATTATGTTTTAGATATATTGCGAGGAAAAGGTCCACCATTTTTGTGTACAACATGTGGAAAATCATATTCACAGAAGGGAAATTTGAGACGACATATAAACTTCGAATGTAATGTTTCACCAAAATTTGAATGTAGTTTGTGCAGCAAACGATTTAAACGACGACATCATTTGTTAGATCATCAAAGAGTTCATTATTCTGCTAATTATCCATACGCATATCAATAATAAATATTATCAATACTATACATATACATATAAAGATGGAGAATTATTTTTATTCGAAATGACTAAACAAATATAATTTATTTAAATTTGTACATTATAAAAAAAAAAAAATTTATCTCCAGCAAAGAACTAAATTAGGATTTATTTCGTTATAAATAAAAAATTTTTTTACTACAAATAAAGTGTTATTTAACATTGAGATACATTATATTTTTTCATTTGGATTTACTTATATAAAATTAAATTGATTATTTAAAAATCCATTTTCTCTAAAACAATTTTTTTTTAAATATATTCTACTTATAAACAATTATATATTTCATATTAAAATAAAAGATTCGATTCAAACAAATATAATTGGCATTATAAATAATTGCTTTTCTCTGTATATTATTCTACACCTAGAGAAAAGATTTCTTTGATTTAAAGAAACCAATTTCTTTGATTTGTTTTCTTATTCTTTTTTGTCAAAAAAATTGATTTCTTTGAATCAAAGAAATCTTTTTTCTGCGTGTACTTTCACATTTAGTTATATTTTTATGGATTTTTGAAGTATTTATTTATTATATATTTGTTATATGTTTATTTAATAAAAAAAAAATTTATTAATTATTATTAAAATTAAAAAATAATTCATATATTTTTACAGATAACCTGTGTGATTATGTATCATCCGATTGTCTTTATGCCTATGGCAATCATTTTCTTCATAGACTTGAGAAATACTACCCAATAAAGTCAAGAAAGTATAAGAAACCGTAAGTGATTTATTTTTTAAATATAAATATATAGAAAATCAACGCCAATTCAACATATTATGTATTATGTTTTACATTTTTGATTTGGCTAAATTTTTTCTATCTTTTCGTACTTTACGAAAAAACCGAAAAAAAGTTTTATTATTTTTTTCGAATTTTTTTTTAATTAATCGATTTACGATGAGATATGAATTTTTCAAAATTTTAAACAAAGATTTTCTTTGCATGCTCAAAATTTTTTTAAAACTGTATCAATTTTTCTAGTTTTTTTTTTAAATTGTGTAAAAAATATGTAAAAATAGGTAAAAAATATTAATTATTGTAAAAGTTTAAACCCGATCTGAAAATAATTTTTTTTTTAGTTGGATCACTTCATAAATTTTGCCCCATATATGGGGCATTCCACGCCAACTTAACATTTTATTGATTTTAACAATTTTGATTTAGATAAATTTTTTTTTTTTGGCTTTTCGTACTTTACAAAAATGAGTTACATAATTTTTTCGATTTTTTTTTAAACAAGCCATTTATAAAATATACATTTTTGAAAATTTTTTGGAAATTGTGAAAAATCCACATCTCATTGTAAAGGGCTTGATAAAAAAAAATCCAAAAAATATCATGAAACTCTTTTTCGTAGAGTACGGAAAGATAAAAAAAAATTGTAGTCAAATAAAAAATATCATAATCGATAAAATTTTGAGTTGGCGTGGAATGCCCCATATATGGGGCAAAATTTATGAAGTGATCCACCAGAAAATTTTTTTTTTCAAATCAGGCTGAAACTTGCAAAAAAAATAGTTTAGCCCTAAGGGTAATTACTTCGATCACAAAGTATTGTTAGGTTTTATCAAAATCTGTAGGAAGGGGAGAGGGTTCAAGTTTTTAGTAAAATATGAAGAGCGAATTTTTGAAAAATCGTAACTTTTGTACAATAAGGTTGAAAAAAATTTCACCTATTTATATTTTCGAAAGGTTTTTTCCTGCTCTTTTCAGTGATATAAACATTTTTTCAAAAAATTAAACCCTTTTTTTCTGGAATTAAAAATAGTTTTGAGTTTTTTTTATTTATTTTTGTTTTGTCCTAAAATAAAGGTTACGATGTATATTTTCAATACAAAAAATGTCGTTTTTTTGTTTTCGAGACATTAATTAATTAAATTTAGTAAAAAAAATAAATATTTCATAAAAAATAATAATTTTTACTTTGACATCAAAAAAATTCCGACACTTCTAATGTGGGGAATATTTATGAGCATCTAATAAAAAGGGTCATTTTTCAAAAAAAAGAAATCAAAAATATTTTTAATTTTCAAAAAAGGGGGTTAGATTTTGAATTTTGAAGACATTTAATAAAAATTATTTTAACCTTACTATATTATAGTTACGACTTTAAGAAAAAAAAATAAACTGTTCGCACTTTTGGTGTTGGATCACTTGAGAAATTTTGCCCCATATATGGGGAATTTCACATGAAGTGATCAAGGTGAAAAAAAATTTCTTTCCATACTTCGATAATTTTTTTCAATTAAATAATGAAATAAAATTTTTTTCAATATCAGTTTCGATAGCTTTTTTCACGCCCTTTTGATTGGTAAAATGCTTTTTTGAAAAAAAAATTTTGTTTACCAAAAATAAGTAAAAATAAAAAATTGTTACACCTTAATCACTTCACTTAACATCTCTCATAGATTCAATAACAGAATATAATTATTTTTATAAATTTGTTTCAGTATAAGGGTACGAAGCCGTTGTAAATTTTGCTACATGAATTTAAAAGAGGAAAAAAGTATTGGATATGCGCAAAGTAGAGCAGCTCGAGTTTCGACAATTTGCATTTCGTGTCCAGACACACCATTTCTTTGTGTCAAATGCTTCGAAGCTTATCATGCTCGTATTTTTATAAATTTAAATTAATTTATTTATAAAAAAAAAATGACGTTTACTTAATTGTTTGTAAATACACAATAACAAAATTTGATGAATAAAATTGTTTCAAGCACATTTATTGTTTCTTTATTTTTTTTTATATAAGTTTATGTAAATGCATTTTATTTTAAAAATATTTTTTCTAAATTTTTCTCAGGCTATAAATTCAGAATTTTTCTTTTATTCTAATATACATTTTTTTATTTTCGTTTTTTTAGGTCGAATTGGACGACCATTACTTAGAAATTTAACTGAAGTTGATCTGATTTCAATCTCTGGTGAAAGTAATCAACATCATCCTGAAATTGTAATGAACATTGATGATCAAGAAAATGAGGATTATCAAGGTAATATAAATACATTTTTTATTGAATCAGAATTTCTCAAACGGATTATCTAAAATTAACAAATTTAATTTTCAATGTTAAATGGTTTTTTTTACACCTTGTGTAGTCAAAATAAGTTTCTGAAAATATTAGGCCAAAATTTTTGTTGTTGTTAAAGAGTTATGGACAATTGAAATTTTTATGTTTTAATTAAAAAAAAATTCTTCGAAATTCAGTTGACCAATTTGAAAACAAAAGAAGTTCAACAAAAAGTCCCTTCGTCTTGGAACGTGGTAAAATAAACAATTTAAAAAACTATTTAAAATAACAATTTTTTTAAAACAAAAATTATGGGGCGGTTCAAGTTCTACACATTTAGATTCTACACCGTATAAATTCTACATGTTAAATTCTCCAATTTTGTATTCTACACAAGTTCAATTTTGCACAATTTATTTGTTAAATTCTACACAGTTAAATTGCACACCGACAAACTCTACACACATTCATATTTAAAAATAAAAATTAATTCGTTAAATTGTACACCGTTAAAGTCGACACACGTTTATATTTAAAAATAAAAATAATTTTGTTAAATTCTACACAGTTAAATTGAACACCGTTAAACTCTGCACAAATTTGTTTAAAAAAATTTTTTTAAATTTAAATTATTACTATAAAATTCTACACAGTTAAATTCTACAAAATAAATTTCTTCGCAGTTTATTAGTTGTGTTAAATTCTGCACTGTTAAATTCTACACACGTTTATATAATAAAAAATATTAATTTTGTTAAATTCTACACAGTTAGATTGAACATCGTTAAATTCTACACTAATTAGTTGTTGGATAATTAAAAATTTTTTTTTTTAAATTCTATTATTATTTATTAACGTAAAGCTAATTTTTTTACCAAATTTATAGAACTATTTTTTAATTTCTTTCAAATTTTTTTCTAAAATATTGTAACGCATTGCCATTACTTTCCCACACAATTTAAAATTTTTTACTGTTAACATAATTTTTTAAATAAATAATTTCCTTACAATCACCTTTTAGAAAAATAAAGGTAAGTTAAACGCCATTGATTAATTTATTTAACTTACCTTTATTTTTCTAAAAGGTGATTGTAAGGAAATTATTTATTTATAAAAAATGACGTTGACAGTAAAAAATTTTATTGTGTGGGAAAGTAACGGTAATGCGTTACAATATTTTAGCAAAAAAATTTGAAAGAAATTAAAAAGTAGTTCTATAAATTTGGTAAAAAAATTAGCTTTACGTTAATAAATAAACGCAAATATATATCAAAAAATAATATTCGGATAATGTTATATTAAATTTAACTTAGTTAGCTTAATTAAAAAATAATTTTATCAATCATTTAACTGTATATACTTAAAAATAATCAAATTTTTCTAATAAAAAAAATGTGTAGAGTTTAGCGGTTTAAATTTGAATGTGTAAAATTTTACAATAATAATTCCCATTTTTTAAAATAAATTTGGGTAGAATTTAACAGTGTGCAATTTAGTTCTGTGGAATTTATTAAAATTATTTTTATATTTAAATAATAAGCGTGTGTAGAGTTTATTTAATTGTGTAGAATTTAAAAAAAAAATTTTTTGATTATCCAACAACTAATTAGTGTAGAATTTAACGATGTTCAATTTAACTGTGTAGAATTTAACAAAATTAATTTTTTTTATTATATAAACGTGTGTAGAAAATTAATTATTATTAATTTATTAAGCTTCAGCCTTTCGGCTAAGCAGTGGACTTGGTTTAATACATACTAAAATAAATATAAAATTCCCATTGAAAATTAATTACTTTTTTTAATAATTTTAGCTGAACCGTTTGAGAAATTTTGACCCTATTATATAACTATTTATAACTATTTTAATAAATTTTATTTCTCTGACAAGATCAAAATGTGAAAATAAAATTTTGTTGAAAACAAATAATTATAACAAAAATTGTTGACCTTAAAACAAAACTATAATTATTCGCAATTTATTTCTGTTACAGATAAAAAAAATTCAGAGAAAAAAAGTAAAAACGAAAATATTTCAGGACCTAATGTAATGGGTGAGTTTGAAAAAATTTATATTTACAAAAATGAGGCAATTAAAAAAATATTCAGTGCAACATTTTTGTTATACGATTGCAAATTGCATTTATAAAGAAATATTTTCTTATTTTTGCAGAATATTTCAAAAAGATACTTAATTTATTTACAATTATACATTATGACATCAAGAAAATCGATGATAAATTAGAAGGTCCTGAAAGATTACAACAACCGGTGCAACAAATACAACCAATACAGTCTTCGCAAGTGCAACAAATGTCTTCACAAATGCAACATATGTCTTCGCAAATGCAACCCATTCAACCTCAAGTAGTGCTAAATGATAATGATTTTCCAATTTTCATACAGTTTCTTCCAATGAATGATATTGAAAGTATTAATCACTTTGAGATGTTAATTGCAACAAATCAAGAAGCAGTTGTACAATTTGTAAGTTAATTTTTTTCTTTTTTATTTTTAAAGTTTTTTTATTCTACTCTCTAAATCTGAATTAGTAAAAATGTTTACTAATTTGAATTAATGACTCACTTTTTGCTTTAGAATTAGTTAAATTTTATTAATTGTTAGTAAAAGTTACTAATAATTAGTAAAATTTTACTAATTCAGAAGCAAAAAGTGAGTCATTAATTCAAATTAGTAAATATTTTTACTAATTCAGATTTAGAGAATATTTTTATATAGTGATGATTGTAAGAATGACTTTTTGAATTTTTATGTTCATCGTTTTTTGGTAATTTTGTATTTTTATTTTATTATTTTTTATTTTTGTTTATTTCTGTTTGTATATACCTATATATTATATGGTTTAATTTTTTTATTTTATTCAATTTTTTCATATTTTTGTCTAATTTTGTTATCTTTATTTAATTTTTTTAGTTTATCTTTTTTCGTAATTTTTTTTTGTTGTATTTTTATCAAATTTTGTTACTTTTAATATTATTTTTTGTTTTATTTTTTTTATTTTGCCCGAAAGTCATTGTTTTTATTACTAATCTATCTACATTTTTATTTTATAATGATGGTTCCTATTCAAAATTTTTTTTTATTTAACGTTTTAATTTTTTCTTTCTAATATCACTTTTTGAAATAAATGAAATAGTTTTTTCGACATTTAAGAAAGCTAAAAATTTATTTTAGTAATTTTATCATCAAAAATGGTTATTTTGAAATTATTATTTATTTTATTTTTAATGCCAAGAATAAAAAAATAAGAACTTATTTATTGGAAATAAAAATTTTGCTCAAAATAATGACACATTATAATGTACATTCCTTTTGAAGTATTTGCTACAATATAAATTTTTAACACAAAATATTATTTTTTTTTTTAAATATTTTAAAATTAAAATATTAAAATAATTTTTTTGTAAATATTTAAGAAAATTAATGTTTTTAGAAAAATTTAATTTAGAAATCAAAAGTTCGGAATTTTTTTTATTTTTTAAATAAGAATTTTATTCGAAAAAACTTTTTTTCTAGAAAATATGAATTAGAAAATATTTTTCTTTTAAAAAAGTAAAAAACTTATGGTTTTATAGTTTTAAAAGTTTATATAGAAATTTTTATTGAATAAAATTTATATTTAACGTAATTTCTATAAAAAGTAATTCTTATTGAATAAATTTATAGAATTTTTAAAAATTATTATCATTATTATTATTTTTTTATTATTATTATAAATTTAAATTTGAAATTAATAAAATTTCTATATTTTACAGCAGAATTTTCATTTAGAAAAGTTTTGATTTAATACAATTTTTACTTATTGCCCTAATTTTAAATTAAAAATTTTCTACTATTACAATTGATTAAATTTAAATAAATATTCTATTATGTAAAATGGAAATTCGATTACTATAGATAAATTCTATACAATATAAAAATTCCCTTAATATAAATTGAGTTCAATCAAAATTATGTAAAAAATTATTCATTAGAATGTAAATTTATTTTAAAATTAAAATTCCATTACATAGAAATTAGTTTATTGAATAAAAATTTGTCAAAATCTACTACAGAAAAATTATTTCGGATAAATAAATAAAATCCTACAAAATTTTTCTAGATTAAAATTTATTTATTTTATTAAATTTTATCAAAAATTCATCAGAATCGATTTTATATTGCTGTATATTTCATTATTTATTTCGTTTTTTTTTTTTTTTAAGATTTTGTACTTTTTTCCCATTTTTAAAAAAAAATTTTTAATTAATAATTTTTTTCCAAAGAATGATTTTAAAATTGTTAATATATTAAGACATTTCCAGTTTGATTGCTTAAATTTCAAAAAATTGATTTGACGATTTTTTGTAAAATAAGAAAAAATAATTTTTAACTATTAATATATCACGAATTTTTAGAGAAGAATGCTGACTCACATGGGTGGTCGTTCAGTGAAAGAAAATATTCATCGGGCTTTAAAAAAAATGTTCACAAATTCCTGTGCCTTGCAATGCTCTTGGAAAGGTCGAAAAAATAATATTAAAGTGTCTGATTTGGGCTTCGTTCAAGTTATGAAAGGTAATTCAACAAAGGAAAATGATATATTATAAATAAAATAAAAATAACGAAAATTTTTCTATCGCGCACAATATTTCTGTTTTAACAAAAATTTTGAAATTAAAAATTTTTATTATTAAAATTAAAAAAAATTTTTTTTTAAAATATTTTATTTTTTAGTATAAATTAAAAATAATTGTGTATACAATATTAATTATTATTAATTTAAATTTCAGATACTTTTTGCACTGGCTTTCCAGGCATGACTGAAGTTGAATTTCAAAATATTGGTTCCGAATGGTTTAGATTTGCAAGACAACGACTAATTCGAGAAGAATCTAAACTAAATAGATCATTAAGCCTAAAATATGAACAAAATAATTAAACAAATTTTTTTTTTTATCACAGAAAAATTTTTTATATAAATCCGACTCATACTCATACATGATAAATGTAATTGTACCAGTATAATATAAATATAAAATTGCATAATTTTTTATACTATTTGAAAAATGTTTCTAAAATAATCGTTATACAATATTGTCATTTGCATTTATAAATTTTAACTTAAAAAAAAATATTAATAATAATAATAATAATTACTCATATTATCGACGGTATAATTATTATATATATATACTCGTTTTTTATTCTTCACTTTTTGTTACCATAAAATCTTTTTATACTCATCTTATGAGACTTTAGGATAAATTAATTTTAGGTGCATTTAAAATTTTAATGAATACTAAAATATTGAATTTTTTTGATGATGTTTATATATATATATATATATATTTATATATAATTTCAAATATTACATAATAATAAGGGGTTTTTTTTGTTTGTTAAAATAATATGTATGTTTGGTGCCAACATGAAATAAATTCATATAATTACAAAGAAAGTCGTGTTTAATTGATTTCTTTTTAAAATATTCTATTGTTCTTGACAAAAATTAGTTTTTCTTTAATTATTTTCAGTTTCCGAAAAAAAATATTTTAACTATTTTTAAAATTTTTTAAATTTTAAAACTCTTTTTAATAATGGAAAATAAAATAAATTAAAATTAAAAATTTTTTAAATAATCTCAAAAATTTAAATTTAAATAACTCAATTTTTAGAATTGAAAGGCGTTTTAAAATTTTACCACCAATTAATGGATACAAAAAGGAACATTTTCGCGATGAAAAAATTTACGAAAGAAAATTAATTTTTCAAGAATAGTAATGTATTATTAATATTATTATATTATTAATAATAATAAATAATAATTAATATTATTAATAAAATTCTTCCTCATTGATAAAAGTTGGTAGTGTTATATATAAATGTATTCAATTATGTTAGTAATTTGTTTTGTCTTTAGTAATTTTCAATTAAAAAAGAAAAAAAAAAAAAGAAATTAACTTTTATATTTTATTAAATCAAAAATAATTATTTGTTAATTAAATTTTTTTCTTGTTTTAGGTGCAATATCTAAATTTCTTTTTGAAGATCACGGCGGAGCTACAATTCAAGAAGAAAATTTTTTCTTCTTCTCGGAAGTTGATGGCAATAATAGTAATTTTAGAATAAGTGATGTCTTATCAAGAAAATTTCCATGTCCAAAATGTAGCAGTGTTTTTAAATTAAAGGGATGCTTAACAAGACATTTAAAATATGAATGTCAACAAGCACCGAGATTTGCATGTCCTTTTTGTGAATTTCGTACAAAAAAAACATCCCATGCCTATGAGCATGTAAGAAGAAGACATCAAAATGAACAAGTTTATATTATCGATTTAACTGCTGATCCACATAGAAATATTCGTCAACCACACTAAAAAGACAAAAAAAAAAAATTGTTTTTTTTTCCATCCATACGAATTATTAAACAATTCTCTCAACTTTTATTTTTAAAAAATAATTATTACAAAGAGAAATAAATTATATGAATAATGTTTTTTTCATATAGAAAAATAATCATTACTATACACATTCTGTAATATTTATTGATTAGTTTTGAATTGGTTATACTGTGGATTTATTTCCACTGTAGTGAGAACGAAATAAAATTAAATAAAACTATTAAATAAGTTGTTTTTTTTATTAAACATTGCATTAAAAATTACATTACTACAAAAAAATGATTTTAATAATCAAAAACTTGCATTTAAAGATAGTTTTTTGTAAAAATTAAAAAATTTTAATTAGGGTCAGTTGGGGTAAATAGAAACAAGGGGTAAATCGAAACAGTAGTTATTTCAGTTAAATAAAAAATTTTAAAAATAAATACGGCATTAAACCTAAGATCATTCCCAATAGGTTCTAAGTATTCTGTTATTCTATTTACCCCTAAAAACTGGAAATTGTTTCTATCAACTACAACACAATTTTCAGTATTATAAAAATGCATTGAAAAAAGTATTCATCTATATTCTCATCAGTACATATAGTATTTAACATGATTTATTTTTAAACTTATGTAATGCATTATTATTTATTGGTTTGAATTATTTTATAACTAACACCATTTTTTACGTAATTCTTTGTATTTTTTAACATTTGCATACTTCAAATGAATTTTTTTCATAAATTTTGTAAGAAATAATGACTGTTTCATATTTACCCCTAAATTTTAGCAAAGTTGAAAAATTTAGGGGTAAATAGAAACAGTTGATTATTGCGATTTAATGATACTCATTTTTCTATTACCCCATAAAGGCCAACGCACAATAGCTTCGCGAAAGTCGTTCGCGAACGAGATGCATGAGATAGAAAAGGATACGAATATATCTCTGTCCTTTTCTAACTCATGTTTCACGTTCGCGAACGTCTTTCGCGAAGCTATTCTGCTTAGGCCTTAAAACTGTTTTCTAACCTTAAATTGTGAATTCATACTCTTAATGGTGCGGTTACCCTATCTCATGCATGCACTGTGCATGCATGCAAAAACATTTGGTCGGTCACACTTCAACGAAATCTAGTGAATGTTTAGTAACTTTCTAGTAATTTTCTAAAAATTTCGATTGTAACTAGAAAGTTACTAAACATTCACTAGATTTCGTTGAAGTGTGACCGGCCAAATGTTTCTGCATGCATACACAGAGCATGCATGAGATAGTGTGACCGTACCCTAAGGCCTGAGCAGAATAGAAACGTAATCGCAATCGTAATCGTAAACGGAAGAATGGGTTAGAGAAGGATAGTCATATATTGTTGTTCTTCTCTTACTAATTCTTCCGTTTGCGATTGCGATTCCGGTTACCTTTCTATTGTGCTTAGGCCTTTAATCTACTACAACTTCCAACACAGCACCCAAAATTCCCTGAAACTTGGCAGAACCTCACATGGTGAGGTTAGGAAACTTTAGTGGCAAGGTTAATACAAGTTTGTGTCGATGTTTAAATGTCCACATGAAAAGAATATTTACACGAAACTTTGAGGAAATATTACACTATAAATATTCGCGTGCAATGTTCAGTCAATGTTGTGTCAATATTCACCTATACTTATTATATTAGTAAATGAAATTTTTATAACTAGGCGAAAATGTAATTTCAATATTGACACAACATTGACTGAACATTGCACGTGAATATTTATAGTGTAATATTTCCTCAAAGTTTCGTGTGAATATTCTTTTCATGTGGACATTTAAACATCGACACAAACTTGTATGAACCTTGCCACTAAAGTTTCCTAATCTCATCATGTGAAGTTCTGTCAAGTTTCAGGGAATTTTGGGTGCTGTGTGGGTTGTAATTTTACAAAAAAAAACTGATTTCACTTTTCAATGTTATTTTCATTTTGACCTCTTTCGGAACTTTATCCCTTCTCCTGCTCTCAGGGTTGGAAAATATGTCACTAGCGCATTTACCTTATAGCTTTGAATTTATTATCATTTTCATCATTGTTATGAATTAATTACCAAAGTAATTAAAAGTTTATCCTTCTCTAACTCATTATTCCGATTGCAGTTACGTTTCCGGTTACGTTTCTATTCTGCTCAGGCCTTTAATCATAAATTTAAGGTTAGATTTGATACACGTAAATTACTGTAGAAAACTAATGACGTAAAGTACATGGTAAAAAAACTATATAAATTACCTGATGTAAATTACGTACCCATCTCTGGCTATCAGTCGGCTAATTTCCATTGTTCCCACTCGCCATTTGTCATAATTGAACGTCCCAATTCTATGGCCATTTCCGAATTGGGATTTTTGTCGCACTTTTGATAAAATGTATACTTGGGAAGTATGCAGTGTCTTTTTTTTCGCACGGTAAAACAAGGACACTGCATACTTCCCGAGTATACACTTTATCAAAAGTGCGGTAAAAATCCCAATTCGGAAGCGGCCTATAACCAGAGATGGATAAAAGCTCTTTTCTGGAGGTTTTCTACGTATAATACATAAATGACGTATTATACGTATAATACTGTAAAATTCCAGGTTTTTGACTTTGTAGCCACATCACTGGCAACATAACCTCTTTTTGTTATTTACTTTCTGATTTATTGTTGGTAAATAAGTATTAATTAATAAATAAAATATTGAAATATTTGTCAATTGACAACTTTCAGTTGAGTTAAATAATATTATCTTATTTGAAATAATTTCGTAGAAAATTTTAATATTTTAAATGTGCTTTTGTTCTCAATTTAGAAGAGAAATACTAATATAATTTAAATTTTATCAAAGCATCGATAATTAATTTTTGTCAATATCGTATAATACGTGTATATTACACGTAAAATACCTTGTATTATACTCGAGGTTTTCTACCTACCCATATCTGCCTATAACTCGTTCGACGCTCTGACGCACACTCTATTGGTAGTCGAGTAGCAGCGAGCGTCAATAGCTTTGGAATTGTGACGCTCAATTCTCGTCAACTACCGCACCCTGCTCTAGTAAAAATTTAGTGACTTTAAGGTGCTTTTATACCTCTAATATTTTGGTCAAGCAATCGGCTGGATTGTATTTTCACGGTTGTATCACTTTTGATTGGCTCTAACAAAATTAAATTTTCAAGGTGAAAATGTAATATTTGTCAGAGCCAATCAAAAGTGATACAATCGTGAAAATGCAATCCAGCCGATTGCTTGACCAAAATACTGGATGTATAAAAGCACCTTTATTGTTAAAATTAAAAGTTACTATAAAGTTACTAAATTTTCATTAGGGCAGGGTGCGGTAGTTGACGAGAATTAGAATAAATGGCGAGTGGGGACAATGGAAACCAACCAGACCTGCCCTACCAGGGTTGGGAACGTATAAAACTAGGAGGAGAAGACTGGTAGGCAGGATTGCACAGTTACGCGTAACTCAGAGTTTTTTTTATGTAAATTACATAGGTTTTTTTACATTTGTAAAATACCCCCCACCATAAAAAAATGCATTGCGTTAGAAAAATTGAAGATAATTTACAAATGTAATAGACGTAAAAAACTCTGTTATTTACTTGAGGTATATTACATACGCAACCCTGCTGGTAGCAGCCTCATTTTCCAAC